AATCATGCAGGTGTGTTAGTTACTAAAGTTGGTTTTTTGGACAGAGCGAACATAATAAGGCCATTTACCCCTGAATACATGCAATTCACTCGTTTTGCTACCTGCACGCGTACCATAGAACTGCGGTGCGCCTTTAAAGGCCCATCCCACCAGTAGCTAGCTCCGTGTCAAATCAGCGCGGTACATTTGATTTATCGTTCTATAGCCGTTCCATCAAGCCCCCTAAATGTTGCCGCTTTTAATGATAATAACCCCCGCAGCGAAGAAAAAGTCCCCATCCCTAGACCGTACGCGAAACGCGGTAGTGGCGCTCCCCCCCCCCCCCCCAAAAAAAAGCGCCGCCGCCGCCGCCGCAGCGCCGCCAAGGATGAGTATTCATGAGCCGCGCGACAAGGACCGCGGTTGGTTCAAGCTCGAGTGAAAATGACGGGTGTCGAGGGGTCCTCGCGCCCGCGAACTCGACGGGCCGGGGACGCTGGGCCCGCAAGGGTTTGAATATGATTCATCGGTGTCGAAACCCCGACGAGAATTTTACAGAAAGAACAACAAAATCAGCCAGAATATCCTCGTCTTCTGTTATTCCCCGATTTTTTTTTTTTTGGTTAAAGAGTACGGTTATTATTGAGGATGCAAGCCCATAAGAAATGCTTGCATTACTGAAACATGATACTCCATCGTGTTGGTGCCATTCTCATACATATTTCATGGCACTCAGACAAAAAAGTCTTCGTTGACTGTTTGGGTCGTTGGTATGTTTCATTTCATCCTCTCGATGTTTTTCTGCTGGCGTGGCTTCGGGAAACATCGGGGACGTAGTCTGACAGCGCACTTCCAGACAGGCGACTCAAAAAAAGGCTACATATATGCGGATTTTCGATTAAACGCATGTATCTGTGCCCCAACGGCATATCTGTATTCATGACCAATCTGCGACTTGCATTATGTATATTGGTATGGATTCGTCCGAATTCGATATCGAAGAGAAGCTAAATTGGCTGTTTTTATGCTGTAAAATCTGTAACAGCCTGAAGCATTGTTACCCCTTGTACGATCCAGAAGCCCCTAATCCATTTATGAAAACCACACTAATTTCTTCCAGTTTTTTTCGGAATACGTGTATATTCCACACTCCTTTCTGAGCTCGTATCACAGACTTTGTTTTTATTCTCAATTTCGGCTGTCCAATACCTACAGTCTCAATTTCTTCCTCAGCCTTTCGTCCAAAAACGTTTTAGCGCGAAGCTTTGTTTGGCTCGTTTCTGTTACTGTCGTCCGCCTGCCGTTGTGCAGCTTAAAGTGTATCTGGTCCAGGTTGTGGTCTCATCAGACAGGCTAAAAGTTTCCATGGCAGAAAATGTCTCCTTGGTTGCAAATTTTCGGAACCGACCGTTTTTGTGGGTTTGACACCAATCTGTTTTGTTTTAGGGGTTGCTTAAAGAAGGGGATTAAATGTATGAAATAACAGGGAAGCATACAACGTTGAGGTGGATGGGAGCTTAAACGGGGCTGTGTTATTTAAGGCTTTCAATTGGAGAACCGATGCACCACGCATCTTGACGTGTAGAACGTAAGTGCCTAAAAAAGGGCCGAACTACATTAAGCTTGTGAGCACAGACAATTTGCTTAGCAAAGAAGATCACCAGACAGGTATTGTGCAGCCTATATGTTGTGAGCAGTTCCCAGCAGGTTTTTTCTTAGTGCATTAATTTGGTAACAAGCATTTTGGGCCATTCAGGTCTATGAAATTGGTCACGGGTGGTAATTGAGCCCTGGACGCATAGCTTTCTGTTTTCGATGCGATTCATAGCGTCAAACAAGGAAAGGAGGGGAATAAATTGCTTTTAATAAAATCACAACTAACCGCATTATGGTTTTCCCGGTCACGTCCAAACGTCTCGGGCTTGCATGCAAGGAAATCCCGCGAATCCACTCCCCGAAAACGAATTCCCCAAAGAGTACCGCCAGTGCCTTATTTCAGCAAAGGGAGCGGCCGGCCCCGGTCCAGCTTGACGGCTGAACAAATTGGCCGGCCACTGTGCCGGGGCGTCTCACCGTGTCTACGGCACGGAGCCCCGGCATCAATTCATCGTCCTGTCGCGTCGATGCACCGCTCCTCACACGTCATACAATATCTTTCGGGTAAATTAAAAAGGATTGGAGATAGAACTACAAAAAAACCGGAGAAATCGGTCATGGGTTTGCTGGATATTTAAGAAGCTAACTTGTTCATTAAGCCTCGCACAATCCCATGGGGCTAGCCGTATGAAGGAGAGCACTTTTGTTTTCACTGTTTCTAATCTTTGAGGCACATGCATGAGAAGCTATGCGCAAAAAAAATTTTTTTTTTTTGGTCGATGGTTTCAATTAACTCTCCTACTACAATCAAATACATGGATGTTTGATGAAAACTGCAATTACATGTACATGTACTCCAAACAGTTCCTCGTCAATACCAAAGCTAGAGGGGAATTTCCAGCGGTGACGATGTAGGGATGTGCTCTTGGTATAGATAAGGTCGCATGATGAAGACGATCTGAATAACATCAGAGATAATATTAACACGGAATTTGGAAGGGAAAAATGTGTGGTCTATTGAATACCTAATGGAATGTACTGAAAACGAAGGAGGTAGCGGCTTTGCGTGGTAGCCATCTTGTAGGGCAGTTCTTTTGTTCCACATGGAAAACTCATTTTGTGTACACCCTGTGAAACAAAAGCACTGACATGCAAGCTGGCAGCCATGCAGAGCCTCTATATGCGTGTATGACGACGGCCTTTTTGATACCCGAGAATGTATTATTATTATCAATAATGATTGCCGGGGAAACTTGGAATGTTCTGTCGAACCACGGATGGGCAGAGATGATGCGAACAACAGGTGAGATCTGTTGGCGCTTCAGACTGGTTCCATGCCAACACTGAAAGAACGAGGGATAAACTGCTTCATCCTTTTTATATTTGGTCGTTACGTGTCCTGGAGAAGAGTTTACATCACTGGTGGCCTCGTGACGGAACTCCATACGTGATTTCCCACCTTGCCATTAGTACTGGCTCGATGTATTTAATTGGTGGGTAGTTTCACGAAGCGAAGTTGTTTTATCTCACAGGAGGCCCGGAATACCATCTACAGTCTATTCAAAGTCTTAGGGGAAATCTCCCAAAGCATCTTGGGGAAATCATTCCACCTCCTCACCCAAATCACCACGGACACCATGATTTCGGAATCGCCATGTCAAGAGGGTCATCTTGTTCAAGATGAGAATTGGATTTTTCATGTCTCAAATGCTCGTCTAATTACATTAGTTGAGTTACAATGTCAATGCCTTTTGATGGCCTGATGGACCGATCAGGTACTTGTGTTTGGATCTGAAATAAAAAGGATAACCCTGTACTGGTTCTAGACTACCCAACATCCTCTCTTCTCTACTTTGTCACACTGGTAGTCCCATCATCCAGGCTAAAGTACAGTCTAGGTGCGGCTGCAGCTACAGTCCTGTCGGGGAACACGTCAAAGAAAGGCTTCAGACTTTCAATTGAAATTCCTATATCTCGATTTTGGAGTCTCTACAAACTGCAGTTTTCCTGGGATGCTACAGATATGTCTCTCTAGTCACATAATCCTTCAAGGGAAAGGCAGTCTTCATCAATGTACCGTTACTTGAATGCACGATGACACATGCCTTTGTTGTTCTTCCCAGCTGTCCTGTACGAAGGTTATAAAGCGTCGGTCGTTGCTTGGACCATTAGAGATCATTGGTTTGGTCACTCTGAGGATACATTAACATTCAGCCAGGGGTACAATTCTGAAGGTGTGTGTTAATATCGAAGCATTGTATCATTTCTATTATTTGATAGGCTCAGATATGAATAAGCCTCTACTACCTGCAGGGCACTGCTCAGCGTGTTTTACAAGACACTCTACTGCCTCATCTAGTCCCTTGGTAATGGAGATATCATATAAGGTGGCCCGGTGTTAACCCATCAACCCTAGAGCAAGTGGTTTTACTGCCTACCTCTTGTAGTTGGGGGCAGTGATCCCTCTCAATTACTTAATAAAGTTAATTAGTTGGTGAAGTGAAGACAAGCTGCATGTGGGTATGATATGGTAAGCATTGCCAGGATGAAAGCTCGATGTTTGAGATGGGGTCGTCTTTATCAAGAAGTGTGGATCAAAGGCAGACGCAAACTTTGGGATGAATCTGATGCTTGGGGTCAGATTTCCCCCATGTGATGGTTAAGTGCCAAAGTGGGGAAGATTATCTGCCATTTCTTGCGAGCCTAGAAAGATGAATTCGTACATCAGAAGCAGATTGTTACTGAGCCCTGAGAGAATTCAGTGGAACTTCTTGGCACACTTTACTGTGGCAGTGAGCAGTCTGTACCTTCGAGCTTTCCTTGCCATAAGACGGATGGCTGCGTGGAAGCCCGATTTAGAATATAGGGCAGTTTTGTACGGATTCAGGGACTGGTGTGTACTCGTGGATTCAGCTCCACTTGACTACGAGAGGGGGTGATGAAATTAGTAAGTTCAGTTGTCAAGGAAGCAATACGCATGCCCAAAGATGAAAACACATGGGGAGGGTGGTTAGTACTGTATGGTCGATTCCCCTCGTTCAAAAAGCGTGGGATCTATCCCCCATTCGGCAAGGAGTTTCGTTGCCCTTCTGTTGGACCTTAAGTACTGGAGCATGCCAGGGTGATGCAAAGTTCAAAAATAAACTGTCCTCTTTCAAATCCCTTAGCAAGAACGGCTCAACGTGTCTCATTACGTGTACTGATAAGACCCAACACAAAGCATAAGCATATTTTACATGGTACATCATCGCCGGCCATGGATAAGGGAAAGGTGTTATTTAGGGCCCAAACCAAATCAAACATTATACCTGCCCGCAAATATTAATACATGATTTTGAAACTTTTGGATTGTAATGAATAGCTCAATCAGTTTATGCAAAGGATTCTCACTAAACCAGAAAATTTGAATTTTTTCGTTCTTACAGGGAGGCCGTTTCTGATGGCTTTGTTCTTACGGCGTTGTTGACAGCAGTTCGTGCCCAACAATGATGTACATAGCTTGGAGTCTGCGGTGTGAAGGTCTGGGCGACTCTTTCTTGTCTCTGAATTTGGACCTGTCCCCTGACACCGTGCGCATGCTGGACAGTCTCGGTTGGCACACCTCCAAATCCAGGTACATACAGTTATGTACATACTAGTATACACTGTATATGCTAGATTCATATTTTAAATTTTTAAGGTCTTCTGCTTTCAACCTACCCCAAACAGTCGCTAAATATGCAGTTCACCAGCCCTCTCCTGTTCTACCCTTACTACGGTCTGGGCAAGCCTCCGACGCCCCAGCTCACCAGGCGTCAACCGCTGGCTCTACAACCAGTTCTCCCATACGGAAGAAGCACAAGCATTCCTTGTCTTCTTCTACGGGGTCCAAGCGTAAGAAGTCTCACTCCTAACAGAAGGATGACGCTTCAGCCGACATCATATCAGCGGTCGGCATGCTCTTGGAGAAGCTCTCTTCTATAACCAGCCGTCTGGAACCCAGTCCTGCTCACGCAGCGACGGCTCCAGATCCGGACCCTTTGCCGGAACGTGATCTGCATTCATTGATGATCCAATCTTCCTTTTATGGTTTCGTTCCTTTGACTTACACAGGTTCTAGCGCAGACTACATCTCACTTCCTGCTCCTGTCTCTGGCCACTCAATAAGACATGGTGACGTTCCTCCTTCCTCTGATCAACTCCAGATGGAACAGGATACATCCTCTGAAGATGAGGATATCTCCTCTACAGCCAACCTTAACCCTCCTGAGGCACGGCTCCGTCTTCTTCAGAAAGATATAATCCACATATTAGGGCTGCCTTCTAGTCAATCTACGGCTGAGGCCTCTTTGCAAGCTGCCTTCAAACGCCACCCCACTAGGTTTGAGGCATCACCGCCAATTTTCCTGGAACTTCCACTTAACCGCTCATGCGTCGAGATGTCAAAAGTTATCGCTGGTGCCAAACAATGGCGTCTGTACCCGCCCAGGGCTTTGACTTATTTCCAGTATGCTAGGGAGGACTTTGACAACTTCCTCTCTTTGAATCAACTGGGAAGGGATGTTGGCCTATGCTTTCCCTCCAATATCCCTAATACCAGCAGTTCTCCCCAAGATCGAACGGGAACGCTGCCGAGTCCCTCTCAACACCCCCTTCTGGCCACGCCAGCCATGGTTCCCGTGTCTGACCAGACTTCTCGTCCGGGTACCAGTGATCCTTCCCGACAGACTGGATCTGCTATATCAACCGAAGTCAGGCGTGCTTCACCCTCATCCGAGGTCACAACACCTGACCTGTTGGCTATTCTCAAACAGTCCTTCAGATCAACAGGACTTTCTGATGAAGCTGCCGAAATGGCCTCGAAGAGTCGACACCAGTCTACACGCAGCATCTACGACTCCAGATTACGACATTTTACTTTTTGGTGTTCAGAGCGAAGTCTTGCTCCGACAGAAGTTTCTGTGACTTCTATAGCTGACTTCTTCATGCACCTGTTCATATCAGATTTCCAGGTTTCAACTATCTGTAACTACCAGTCAGCCATTGTGGCTGTACACGATGGTCTCCCAGATGGTCCAACTGTGTCCGACAATACTGCTCTTAAACATATACTCCGGGAATGTTTCTTGAACATCCCCCAACTAAGAGACTAATTCCTTCATGGGATTTGTCACCTGTTCTCCAACTGCTCACTGGTCCCCCCTTGGAGCCTCTCAGTGATGCATCATTGATCAACCTATTAGTGGAACTGGAATTCCTACTAGCAGTTACTACCTCACAGAGTAGCAGTGAACTGAAGGCATTGTCCATTTCAGATGGCCACATCCGATGGGAACCTCATGGTGTTTGTCTCATCCCAATGCTAAGGTCTCTTACCAAGAACCAGTCAGTTTCCTTCCATCCTCCTGACATTTTTGTAGCAGACATTGCTAAACACACTGGGACTCCTGACAACAAACCATGGTGCCCAGCGCGAACTTTTAAATGGTACTCGGCCAAAACCAGAAAACTCAGAAGTACAGCTTCGGAGCTTTTCATCACTACAATAAAACCTCACCTAGCTGCGACCAAAGACACTATAGCCGGATGGAAAGTTTCAGGTATCAAGTTTGCCAACCCAGATTGGCCAAGCTCTGTGGACAATGAAACACAACGCCTCATCAGGGCTCATGATATCCGAGCATTTTCCACATCATGGGCCTACTTCAGGGGCGTACCGATGGAGGAAATACGCAAGGCAGCATGATGGAAGACCCCATCTACTTTCCCCACATGCTACCTCACCAATGTTCTGCAAAAGGACTCCGCACATGGCAGAGCGGTCCTAACATAGGCCACATCGATGCCAAAGGGTTCCTCATCGAAGCAGTCCATCCACTGGAACGATATAGCAACTCCATCATTTGGTGAGTCGGCAATTAAGTCTGGACAATTTCATTCTCCTGCAGTGCTCATATTATGCAGTGTGCACTCACCGCACCCCCCCCCCCCGGCTTGGTGCTGCTCTGCATACTTGGCAAATGTTTGGGGCAGGTTGAAAGCAGGAGACTCCTCCCCCACAGAAATGTGGGTGAGGTCTGCTATTGAATACCTACCCCAAACAGTCGGCTCCCTCCCATCCTTCCCCACTTTTGGCTTGGACGGTTTTATTAATACCAGAAAAGCAGGACAAACATGGCGGCCATTCCCCTATGCATCATGGGACTAGATTGATCAGATGTTTTAGCAAATTGAATCAGACGCAACAGAATTTGCATATTTAGCGACTGTTTGGGATAGGTATTCAATAGCAGACCTCACCCAAATTTCTTAGTTTTCCCCTGAAAAGTTGTCACATCCAAATTAAATAACTAAATGTAGCCTATATGTACATTAGCAGGGTTCCCCAAGCAATTTTAATTTTGAAGTACAAACTGAGAAAAAGGTGATTTTTAAGAGATATTTTCCTTTTTTTATTAAAAATTGAAACCCCCCCCCAAAAAATTGAGCCTCACCCCTAAGAAAGGCCCAAAAGGTTACATAAATTCATACCTAAACGTTTTGCACATCCCCCCATCACTCCTCCCAACATAAAGCCAACTCTTGATCTGCCCTTGACTAGGTATGGTCCACTACAGCAAAACCATTCAAAGTGCATTATGTAGACCGAAATTTAATTTCATCTTCCATCCCCATTCTACTATTCATCTGACTAGTAGCAAGAACTGAGGCAATTAGAATAAATGTCTTCAAATATTCAATGTTTCGTTAAGCTTTGATGCTACCAGTACGAGGATTTTAGGTCAAAAAAGCATTTCAATTTGGACATTATAGGCAGCGCATAATAATTTATTAAACCAAACAAATGTCACTGATAATCACCATCCCAGTTGAACGTCAGTTGGATCGAAGTCATCTAGAGAGAGAAAAGATACAGGCACATTGTTTGTGTAAAGCTGCAGCAAACACTCACATTTTATTATTTTGTCCTCCATAACTTTGCCATAAATGCATAGGTTATTACAGTGGGGTGTGCCACACGGTACATCCTATAGGGGGGGCAAAACCATACAAACTATATCCAGGCTAATATCTTGCATTCACAAAATGCAAAATACTGCAATAGCAAAATTCCACAAAGCTGCACAAAATAATGTATTTCCATAAATATACGACTAGTGAGTCGGACTAATTGAGATATCCATATGCGGAAATTTGTGAAAGATATAAACAGCTTTTTATTAATGCAAACAAAAACATCTGTTTTACAATCAATAAATACAAACGTATACTCCTCTATATAGACACAACTGCACATCCATACACTCTTTAAGTACAAAGGCACAACTCTTGCTTAAAGAAAAAAAAAGAACTTAACTGTTCAAAGCATGTTTTATTCATTCTTTGGACTTGAGAACAAGCGTCAGAATACACAAGTAGCATCAACAACTAGAAAATACTCTCTAAAGATTTAAAAGTGTTTTTTTTATTTTAGAGAGTCTAAGACTTGCTGCTGTATAAGAGAAACACCGAATTTACTTCAAGATTTTTGCAGAAAAATGAAAATTGTTCGCGATGTATTGAGGCTGCCTTCTTTCTTTACTCTGCCGTCCACGTGAAAACAAAATTTAAACGCTCGAGTATCATTTCAGACAGATACGATACATTGAATAGGACATGCAGGAGCCTAATAAATATTGCAAATAAAAACAAATTGGCATAAATGTGCCTGAATAACTTGTTGAGGCTTTGGTGATGGTCGCTGACGCTTGTTGATACCCAACAGCATGAGCCTTGCAACTTGGCTTTGCAACACCAGTGACATGTACGGATTTCTGCTGTGTTTCGAGTTCAGCTTTTTGCCGACTATTCATTTAACCAACTGTGGCCATACATGTCCGGTACATGCACATGTACATGCGCATGTACATGTGCATGCACATGTACATGC